CGTTGAAATAATGACTTAAGGTTCACTTTTGTTCTATAGTAGATCTAATTTATTATTTTCACCATTATCATATTTTTGTATCAATTTAGAAGTTAAAGTTATTTAATTTGCATCATTCTATACTTACCCCTAACTTAAAATCTTAAACTGATAACCATAAACCCTAAACCATAATCATCCCATATCCTCTAAACCTCAAACACTAACTTAAAACCCTCAATTTAGGGTTTTAAAAGTTATGGTAGAGAATAGAATGGTGCAATTGAACAACTTTGATGGTTAAATTGATGCGAAAATACGATAAAGACAAAAATGATAAATTATGTCTACTAAAGAGACAAACGTTACCCTTTTACCTTAAAGAATCATGTCAGTGCTACAATTACATTTTCTTAAAAGTGTTTTTTGTAATTGATGGATTGATAAATGGATGGATTCATTTGAATATGATTTATTCGATTTGATAATTATAGTTTAATAATTAAAATTTGTCTAACTTAAATTTGAATCGACTTAAATTTTAAAATCAACTAATATCCCAAATGACATGGACTCAAAATAACAAACGGAGAGAAATGATAATATATTTATTTTGATGCAATAAAGTTATACATACAAATTGATGATCAATTAAACAAAAGAAACCCTCGTAAAATATTAAATTTATGCTTTTCGGTATGATTAGTTGTCTTTCATATTTTTTTTAAAAAATACTATGAGTATCAACCGCACAGAAACACTACTGAGTAAACTCAAGGCTTAACCTACCATGCAAACAACTTCACTTATTGATAGCGATTAACGTACGATTTTATATTAGGGGATGGATTTATAAAACTTTAGAGATGAGCTAATTTATAAAATTTTTAAGAGTGAAAATATATTATCAATAGAAAATACAAAGAAAAAAGATATAAAATATAAGAAAATTTAAAATTTTTAGGCTAAGAATGTCTCTGTCTACCTCTTGGGTTCATCCCTAATTATTGGGGATTGTGTTTACAAAAATCATGTTGATAACTGAACCAAATTAGAGTGCATATTTAATTTGCCTCCAATGTTGGGATAAAGAGAGAAACTTTGCTTCACCGGTGTTAATGTTTTTTTAATCTAGAAATGCTTTTTTTAACGAGGTCTATTTTTTATTTAAAAAATAACTATAATTAATCTATTACGGATTATTAAATTAAAAAAAACAAGTGAACACCATAGGTACAAATTTGCATGTTTTTGCTAGTTTTCTCGATAATAAAGTTAGAGGGAAGGGACAAATTGAGGGTCCTAACTTTGAGCACCAACTCTGGTGACATCGGTGGTAAATGAAATGTTGTTATTTTTTAAAATCTTAAGTTCAAACATTAAGAATGTCAAGGATATTATCTTGTACTTACCCCAGATTTGTTAAAAAAAACTCTAATTTTGAAATTAATCGTTTTTTTTGTCTTTAAAAGAAGATTAATTGCATTATATGTCACCAAACTATAATCCTCATTTTAAATTAGTCCTTATGCGTTTGAATATTCCAACTTCATCCCAAACTATAATCTTTCTTCTAAATTAGTCTTTAAACTTTTGAACATTATGATTCCATCCCCATACTATGACCCTCATTCTAAATTAGAGCCCAAACTTTTGGATCTTTCAATTTCAACCCCAAAGTCTCTCAAATATGTAATTAGTTTCAAGCATAGTTTAACCTAATTTCCCCCCCCCCAAACATATAATGATTTTATTAACAGAGGATGTGATTAGTAAATACATATAGTTTGGGATGAAATTAAAATGTTTAAAAAGTATGAGGACCAATTTAGAATGAAGGTTATAGTTTGAAGATGAAAACAATGATATTATAATTTTTATAACAAAAGTAGAAACAACATTATTATGTTGTCTTTTACCCAAACAATGCATTAGAACACTTTTGCTAGTTGTGTGGGCACATGTTTTGCAATTATGTGTGATTGACTATAACAAGATTAAGAATTGAAGAAATCCGATGGATGTTACAGAAAATTCAGGTGAATGTTAAAGGATGAATTGGTTAATAATTTGTTGAAGTTGTTACAAAGTTTTTTTTTTATACATATAGGGTAAATATAATACAATATTTGTTTAAAGATTCTCAACCAATTGACAATGAACGTTCATACTCCTGACGTTCGAACTCGTGACGAAAAATAACGAGTCCCTTAACTACTAAAGTCAAGTTGATTAGTGTGAAGCTGTTACAAGTTAATTTGAGATGTTAAACCATTATGTCAGCTTGTTGAGGCAAACCTTAATTCTGTTAAGGCCAATACTCAACTGAGCCATATATATTGTAATGTTGGGCCTTGAGCCCTTTATCGAAATGTATTGCAAAGTTCGCTTAATTACAAAAAAAAGTTGTCCAAATTTGTTAAAAATATAATCTATACAACTTTTACAACTTTTCACGTAATTACAACTAATGTTAACACTTTTACGTTATTTGTTGAAGGGCATACCATTTTTCTTAGGTGAAGTACACAAATGGTCTCTGACTATACGTCAATATTTTATTGAGTCTTTCGACTATTAAATGTTACAAATTAGTCACATGACTATTTATATGTTCCAAATTCATCATTTTCCATTAAAAAATTGATGGTCGTCTGAGCTGAACGTTAACCTACTAACTGAGATATGATAAAATATGATCCCAAAACCGTTTGAATTGTATAGTCGTTTGAGATTCTAGGATAAGATTTTATCATATTTTAGTCAATATGTTAACATTCAGCTCAGACAGACGTCAATTTTTAATGAAAAATGACGAGTTTGAAACATATGAATAGTCGAATGAACATTTTATAGAGAGACACAACAAATCAACACTTTATAGTAGAAGAATTCAACAAAATAATACCATATAGGATCATTTGTTTACTATATACTTTTTCTTATAACCATAAGAAATATTGGCGAGATCACTAAAATTGTTAGATAATTTATAACATTCGTTTTAACAAAATTCACCATTTTCTGTAGCTATAATAAATGCTAAAATAATAGTTATATTTTCATACAATGGCGTTATGGTATACGAAGTTAACCTAAATGAAATTTAACCATTTCATTACTTGCTTTCCCTTTTCTCGTCCCAATCCAAACATAAGGTAAATTAATCAAACTCGTATCACACAAATTCCAGACCAAACTGATAGAATTATTCGAACAAGACAACTATACAATAACAACTCTCCCTGTCGTCTGTTCCTTGTAGGTTGATTCCATGTCTTCCCCTAAGCTTAGTTCTGAAATGCAAACGAGTGGTGGACAGTTTTTGTGCAGTGTCTTCTTCTTAAACCTATTGCTTTGAGGGCACACATGTTAGGGCTACCTAGGGTTACTCTAAACTGCTCGTCTTTGAACCTCATAATAGTGTGTTTTTAATCCGACCAATCGCCCAATCTTTGCAATCTCAAACACCTGGAACTCTTGATTTCTTAAATAATATTTATGTTTTGTCTTTTTTATTTCAAGCCACTGCCTGCATTAAATTATGTCTGCAGGTAACTCATTAGCCTGCTCAGCCTCTCTCTGATTCAGTTGCTAGGGTTTTTACTTTTAAAACAGTATAACATGTAATGAAAAGAAACGAATCCCTTGGAAAGCAGAGGGGAAAAGAGGAGTCATCCAAATACTGTACTGCTTTTTAACTTAAGTTCTAGAAGGACTATTGTACGATTTCCATATCTAAAAATGTTGCAGATTTTACTGCGCTGAGAAATGGTGTTTTAAATTTTCCAGATCTCTTACTAGAAATGGAGATTTTCCCCAGATCTCTTTGGATTCATTTAGGATAAATTCAAGCAAGGGGGTAAATGAACTAAGTTTAAACGATTAAAATTATGTTCGTTTGTTTAATTTTTAAAATGTTAATATTCGGTTCGTATTTATTTAAATTGTTAATATCATGCTTGTATTTTTTTATTTATTTTTGAAAATATTAGTATATTTAACATTCATGAATATATGCATGAACCAAGCGTACTCATTGGTAAAGAGATTATTGGTATTCCTTGAGGTTCTGGGTTTGAGCACTCTGAATATCAGGAGTGTGAGCGATCAATGTCAAATTGTTGTGAGTAATCTTTGAACATATACTACTTTAGTCCTTGAGTTTTTTAGACATCACACTTAATAAATGTAAAAAAGGAAGAGGTTAACCAAATACACCTCTAAACATTATATGAACTGCTCAGAAACAATTAATTCATCTAACGCTATATTCATTTAAAGATTTAATTTTCAACAAGTGAAGCTTATTGGTTTTTTAACCTAGTAGCCTAATAATATAAAGAAAAGAGTTAGGGCTACGCCGAGGGGAAAAAAGACCCAAAAGGAGAATTATTCATGAATATATCAGAAGTGCATTAACATTTAATGAACTAATATCATAAGGTATATGAATAAAGAAAGAAATTCAGTGCTGAATATCAGACTTTTTCTTGACAGATTTGATTGTTTGTGGTCAGGAAACTCTAACCAAATAAAAGGGTTAATTAAATGAAGTGTTTTTTTTTATCCACTTCTGTGTAGGTCATTGCCCATATTGTTCCCAAATATCAAGAAGATCCCACTCCACCAGCTCGGATCATCATGAGTGCAACAAAGAAGCAGATAAAGTCGAAAGCATTACATAATATAACATAACAAGAAGAAAACAGGGAAAAGAAAACAAAAATTCATTGCCATGCAATAAAAGAAACTTTCTGTTCATATCTAACTTGTCCCCATTTCTCACAGTTTGGCTTGGGGTACACAACCCCCTCCAATGGCCACTGCCCTCCAAGCCAAACTAGCTGAGTGTCCAAAGCTCCAAAAAGCTGCCCCAATCCCTGTACATGAACCAAAAACTTTTCCTTCTCTCCTTCCTTGATTGCATGACCCCATTTGTCAGTTTGTTAAGTCTCTCTCTCTGGGTGGCGTGTCAAACCAGTTAATATACTTCATAAACATAATCAAAAGTTCTTTTTTTTTTGTTTTGAAAAAGTAGGAAAAAAAAGATAGAACAATCTTTAGAGTCCGTCCTGAAATCGATTCATCGCTGGAGGATTCTCCAGGCGCTGCTGTGTACTTCCTCCTGCATAGCTCCTATCCCAATTCAGCCCCTCCTCCTGGTTGCTCATTGATAAGTCTCCTGCGCCGCAACTTGGACTAGGCCCGAATACAGGCTCGCCGATGCAAGTGTAGTTAGAGTCCTGTGGACCAAGGTAGTGTAAGTTTTGCTGAGGATATTGGGATGAACCTTTGCTTCCGAGGACATGTCCTACATAGTAGTCGTTAATGGAGTGTGTTGTTGGGTATGGGTGTAAATATAGTTGTGGTGGTGGTGGAATGAGCGTTGATGAAGAACCGGGGAACATTCTTGGTGGATAAACTGATCTAAATGGTAATGTTCGATTGCAGCTGCAATGATTGGGAACATTTTTTTTTGGCTCAGTCGTCTCATTTCTCAAAGAAGTGAGTAAAAACAGTGATTGAATGTTGAAGGATCATACCCTAGATGCCCTTGGGTGGTCAAGTTATCGTTATTGAAGACCAGCTGGCGTGCTCGGTTTAGTGTCTCTGTCTCCCTTTCTGACCCAAAAACAAACGCAAATCAAATCAAAAGCAGTCATCAAACACAGAAAACCAGCCAAGAAATTCAGTAAACCAAAAACCACGGTTCATGGGGAGAAACCCCATCATCATAACAACCTCTGACGCTTCCCTAAGTGTGTAAAAACAAACATAAAAGTGGAAATAAAGAAGTGAAATGACTTGCCTTGGCGATGGCGGTTCATGTGTCCCCCAAGAGCTTGAGATTTGCAAAACTTTAGGGAACAAAACCTACATTCATAGACCTTCCCGCACTCATCTTTCCCATCCTTACCGCCGCTTTTCTTTTTTCGAGATCCTGTTTTAAAAAACCCACCAATTAAAGCAACTTCGATGAGACCATTCTTGACCCTAACCCCCCAAACCCTAATCTAAGTATCTAACTTACCCAAATCATTAACCAAAAAAAGCTATACTCAAATCATCAAAAGAAACTCATGGCATGTTTAAGCTTATCAAACACAGCTAGTCTATCCTACAAAGAGAAATATGAATACCCGAGGAGGAGCTTTCCTCAAAGACCAGTTTACCATCCCTTGTGTAATCGTCGGGCAAGTTGTTGAGATCTAATGGGTTTTTCTCTGGTCTCCTGCAACATGATATATATATATATATATATATATATATAGATAGATAGATAAAGAGAAGAAGATAAAGAAAGAAGTGGTTTGTGGGGAGTCATACATGGTACCGACAGAGGAAGACAGGAAAATATGAGGTGAACAATCTTTGAGATTGAAGATAACTAAAGCTTCCGAAGATTACAAGACTTCAGTTTGAGACTGCTGCACAATATAGATGGGGGCTAGTTTGAGTGAAGGTGTGTAGAAAAAAAAGAGGAGAGTTTTTGGAAGTTCTCTATCAGTTCCTCATAAATTGAAAGAACAATAAGAGGGACAGTGGGTCTCGTGACTTTAAAAAAAAGGTGAGGACTTTGAAGGATTGGGGTTATTGTAAGTGAGGAGAGAGCCTACAGAGAGAGGGCCTCTTGCCCTACAAACTAGTTTCATGAAACAACGATGGCGCCTAAAATAGTTAGAGAGATTACTAATAGGATTTACCATAAAAAGGATTGCTACCGAAACACAACATGTTGAAAATTAATAAAACACATGGGCTGCTAAGGGGGCTGCTAAGGGGGGGGCTGCTGTAATTTTTTATTTTTTTATAATAGGGTTAATTACAATATTAGTCCTTAAGCTTCAGCTATAAATACCCTAGCTCATTTAGCTTCAAAATCATCCCAAAAATCATTTTCTTTCTCCCAATACTAGAGAGCTTTCTTGTGAGTAGTGAGTGTTTTGTAAACACCTGTAAAATTTCTCTCTTAGTAAAAGATCTGCAGCAGTCCGGAGACGTAAGCATAAATTGGCTGAACTCCGTTATCAAATTTCGGGTATTATTTTTCCGCTTTTATTTCGCATTCTCACTAATCTGGTTATAGGGAAATTACTTGTACTTGGTTTATTTCCTAACAACTGGTAATCAGAGCTTTTGGTTGTGAATTTTGTCAATTTTCTGCGAGGTTACTATTCATTACTATTCACGTGAATAGTGAATTTCGTGAATAGTGAAATTTGGTCGGCGATACGAGTTTGTCGACGGAGGTGTTCTAATACACGGCGGTTCGCAGAAATTGTCAGAAACGATCCAAACGAAGCCAGATTCGAGTGGGAGCGATGGCTGCAGACGAAGGGAAGGTGAAAATTGAAAAGTTCGATGGTGCGGACTTTGGCTTTTGGAAGATGCAGATCGAAGATTTCTGTACCAGAAAAATCTATATCAACCCCTCTCAGGAAAGCAACCAGAGGGCATGAAGGATGAAGATTGGGCTCTTCTCGACAGACAAGCCCTCGGAGTTATCCGACTGACGTTATCCCGAAATGTTGCTTTCAACATAGCAAAGGAAAGACCACGGCAGGTCTTATGGCAGCTCTCCCAGTATGTATGAGAAAGCCATCGGCCTCAAACAAAGTTCACTTGATGAGGCGATTATCAATTTGCGGATGACGGAAGGGGCATCAGTGGCTCACACCTGAATGAACTCAACACAATCACAACCCAGTTGAGTTCTGTAGAAATTGAATTCGATGATGAAGTTCGAGCTTTAATTCTCTTATCATCTCTACCAGATAGTTGGAATGCTACTGTTACAGCAGTTAGCAGCTCGTCGGGAAATAGTAAATTGAAATTCGACGATGTTCGGGATCTGGTACTGAGCGAAGAAATTCGACGGAGAGAATCGGGTGAAGCATCAACCTCCTCAGCCTTGAACACGGAGTCCAGAGGGAGAACTTCAGAAAGAAATTCAAATCGTGGCAGATCCAAATCCAGACGGGAAAAATCCAGAACGGGAAAGAAAGATTTTACCTGTTATAATTGTGGCAAGAAAGGTCACTTTAAAAGAGATTGCCGAGCACTGAAGAAAGATACCGGTGCACAGGAATCTGCCAACGTGACAGAGGAGACAGGTGATGCCATGATTCTAAGCGTCAACAGTCCGATTGAATCATGGATCTTGGATTCAGGGGCATCTTTCCACTCCACCCCATGCCAAGAAATCATGGAGAACTATATCAGTGGTGATTTTGGAAGGTTCATCTTGCTGATGATGAAACCTTGAAGATCGTCGGAAAAGGAGATATCCGACTAAAGTTGCCAAACCAGACCACCTGGAAGCTGACAGGAGTGAGACATATTCCTGGCCTCAAAAGAAATCTGATTTCTGTTGGACAGCTTGATGGAGAAGGATATAGTACAACCTTTTCAGGTTGTGAATGGAAGATTACCAAAGGAGCACTCGTCAATGCTCGTGGTAAGAAGACTGGTACTCTCTATGTAACCTCAAATTTAGAGAATATCATTGCAGTAGCAGATGCTGATGGAAAATCAAACCTATGGCACCAAAGGCTTGGCCATATGAGCGAGAAAGGAATGAAGATACTTCTGTCAAAAGGGAAGTTGCCGGATCTAAAGAATGTAGATGTCGGACTATGCGAGGATTGCATCTTTGGCAAACAAAAGAAAGTCAGTTTTGCAAAGATTGGCAAGACACCCAAGGCAGAAAGGTTAGAATTGATTCATACTGATGTATGGGGACCATCCCCAGTTCCATCTCTTGCAGGCTCACTATATTATGTCACCTTCATCGATGATTCAACAAGGAAGGTGTGGGTTTATTTTCTGAAGAAGAAATCAGAAGTCTTTGATACCTTCAGAAAATGGAAGGCCATGGTGGAAAATGAGACTGGTTTGAAAGTCAAGAGGTTGAGGTCTGACAATGGAGGAGAGTACAGAGACAGTAGATTCAGAGATTTCTGCGCAAACAATGGGATTAAGATGGAGAAAACAGTTCCCATAACACCGCAGCAGAATGGCGTAGCAGAGCGCATGAACAGAACTCTGAATGAACGTGCTAGAAGCATTAGGATACATGCCGGATTGCCCAAATTTCTATGGGCTGAAGCTATCAACACTGCAGCTTACCTGATCAACCGTGGGCCCTCTGTTCCTTTGGATGGCGGAATACCAGAGGAAGCTTGGAGCAAGAAAGAAATAAACCTTTCATACTTAAGAGTGTTTGGTTGTATTTCTTATGTACACATAGACTCTGCTGAAAGAAGTAAACTTGATGCTAAGTCCAACAAATGTGCCTTTGTTGGTTATGGCGGTGATGAGTTCGGTTACCGGTGTTGGGACTACGAAAATCGAAAGATCATCAGAAGCAGAGACGTCATTTTCAATGAAAATGTGATGTACAAAGACAGGTCAACCGCAGAATCAAGTAATACCGAGGCTGAAACAAAGGAATTGCTGAGTTCGAGGAGATTTCTAAAAATGATGTTCAGATCAGTCCTGAAGCAGTTCAAGAGGAAGAACCAGGCACACCAGAACTGAGACGCTCCTCCAGAATTCCTAAACCAACCCAACGGTATTCACCTTCTTACACTACTTGTTGCTGACTGACAATGGTGAACCAGAGTGTTATGATGAAGCAATGCAAGTGGAGGATTCAGTCAAGTGGGAGTCTTCCATGAAAGATGAGATGGACTCGCTTATGTCAAATCAGACGTGGGAATTAGCTGAATTACCACCAGGCAAGAGAGCGCTCCATAACAAGTGGATTTACAGGATCAAAGAAGAGCACGATGGGAGCAAACGTTACAAAGCAAGATTGGTTGTCAAAGGATTTCAGCAAAAAGAAGGTATTGATTACAATGAAATTTTCTCTCCAGTCGTGAAACTGTCTACAATCAGACTGGTGTTAAAAATTGTAGCTGCAGAAAATTTACATCTTGAGCAGTTAGATGTAAAGACAGCTTTCCTTCATGGTGATTTGGAGGAAGAAATCTATATGAGGCAGCCAGAAGGCTCATAGAGGCAGGCAAGAAAAACCTGGTATGCAGGTTGAAGAAGAGCTTGTATGGTTTAAAACAAGCTCCTAGACAGTGGTACAAGAAGTTCGATAGTTTCATGGGTAGCAGTGGTTTTACCAGATGCCAAGCAGATCATTGTTGCTACATCAAGAGGTTCGACAACAACTTCATTATTTTATTATTGTACGTTGATGACATGCTCGTTGCAGGCTCAGACATGCAAAAGATTATACACTTGAAGCAAAAATTGTCGAAGCAGTTTTCTCTATGAAGGATCTGGGCGCTGCAAAGCAGATTCTTGGGATGAGGATCAAGAGAGACACAAAGTCGGGGACTTTGATGTTATCACAGGCTGAGTACATCAACAAAGTACTCTCCAGGTTCAACATGCAAGATGCTAAACCAGTAAGTACACCTTTAGGTGTTCATTTCAGACTCTCCAAAGAACAGTCACCAAAGACAGAGGAAGAACGTGCACACATGGTGAAGGTGCCGTATGCCTCAGCAATTGGAAGTCTGATGTATGCCATGGTTTGTACCATACCAGATATTGCTCAAGCAGTGGGAGCTGTTAGCAGGTACATGAATTAATCCAGGCAAAATACACTGGGAAGCAGTCAAATGGATCCTCAGATATCTGCGAGGTACCACAAACAAAGCACTTTGTTTCAAAGGTGGAGATACGATACTGACAGGCTATGTAGATGCTGACTTAGCCGGAAATGTTGACATCAGAAGAAGCACTACAGGGTATGTCTATACTCTAGGAGGAACCGCAGTGAGTGGGTTTCTCAACTACAGAAGATAGTTGCTCTCTCTACAACCGAAGCAGAATATGTCGCTGTTACGGAAGCCAGCAAAGAGATGGTCTGGCTCCAAAGTTTCTTGGAAGAGTTAGGCAAGAAACAAGAAAACAATGTCTTGTATTGCGACAGTCAAAGTGCTATCCATCTAGCGAAGAATCCGTCTTTTCATTCCAGGACGAATCACATACAATTGAGATATCATTTTATCCGGTCTCTTCTGGAAGATGGGATTTTGAAACTTGAAAAGATTAGTGGAGCTCAAAATCGGCAGACATGTTAACAAAGACGGTGACCACAGAAAAACTGAAGTTGTGTTCAGCTTCAGTTGGCATGCTAGATAAAAGACCAGAAATGCTGCTGCATTGATCGAGGTGTGAAGACAGATTAAAATCAGTCTTCAAGTGGGAGATTGTTGAAAATTAATAAAACACATGGGCTGCTAAGGGGGCTGCTAAGGGGGGGGGGGGCTGCTGTAATTTTTTTTTTTTATAATAGGGTTAATTACAATATTAGTCCTTAAGCTTCAGCTATAAATACCCTAGCTCATTTAGCTTCAAAATCATCCCAAAATCTTCTAGTTCTCTCTCAAGTGTGTTGTGTAAACACCTATAAATTTTCTCTTAGTAAAAGATCTGCAGCAGTCGGAGACGTAAGCATAAATTGGCTGAACTCCGTTATCAAAT